ATGTGCGTGATTTGTACTCGCAGTGCAGAACCTAAATCATGTTAACATTTGCTATCTATTTTAATACACGTACATTAGTAATGTAGAATACAATAAACACAATGATAATACCATTAATATCTCTAAAATGAGACTAAACTAGGACGGGAGGAGCTGATATAATTAAAGTCATGTAGTAATATTTGATAACTTGGAAGACCTTTGGAAGTTTTAAGACAAACGATCGAAATGTACATGTACTATATATTATGCAATTATGATATTTTACAATTTGGGAGCTACGTGTCTTCATATCCATTAACAGCCCATACTAGACTCTATAGCGTTCCACCATCCCCTCCCCTTATATACGCATTCAGAAAACATTTTATTTTAATACTCAAAGTCTAAACGATAAGAATACTTTGGTCTTAAACTTTTCAGTAAGATTTTTCGAACCGATTAAAGTCGGCTACGTAAAATTTTAATTCAATCATGTTCACCTCAGCTTAAAGCTCGTCTGCACTAGTTTGGCCAGGAGGGATTAGACCTCCCAGCATGGTCACTGACAGGTGGTTATCTCATCAACTCAGCTCTCTATTATAAGAAAAAGAGGATCATGGGGCACCAACAGGCACCGCTTAGGCATTGTTTTCTATATGGGAGCAAGTAGTGCAGTAGGGCTTTAAACATTGAAGAAAAAACACAATGTATTTGCATTTAAATTGTAATTTTTAGGGGAAATGATTCATTCGGTGCTTGCGTTTTTCTTTGTCTGTTTATGATTGTGGGTGTGTGTGGGAGGAGGGTTATTGATGATGAAATATCGAAGTATAATGGACTAAAAGCTTACTTTGCATCTTGGTCTAAAATATAAAATTTAACTTTTAAATATATATTTTGTGTTTTTTAAACTTTCTGTGAGTAGAAATCAATAACATGCAGACAAGAAACACATAATGATCAAAAATAGCAACCTCATATCCTTTTTTCTGTTGTGGTTGAGTTTTTATATGGTGAATGTGTGTTTAAAATTTTCTTGAAAACAGTATCCTAGCATGGAATAATAAATCAATGTCAGAGCTACGGCACAGGTTTGATATGATAATTTAGTAAAATCATCGGATTTGTTCAGTCATTAATCTTATAGCTTCAAAATTCATGTAAAATCATCAAGATACAATCTAAATTTATATTAATGAACCACTACCATGTTAGGTAGTGAAATTGAAAGTTAAGAATTGTGTCTGAAAAATATAGCCGATTCCTGGCAAATAGTGAAGAAGGGGAAACAAACAAAAACAACGATGACTCTATTTTGATTCTCTCTCCACACACTAAGAAAAAATGGTGCAACTATACACCTTTAGGGGTTCAAACCGATGCAACAATAGCAGCACCTTAAGGGGTTAAATCCTGCACCCTTTTTAAAGGTGCAATCCTGCACCCTTCAAAAGGATGCTAGATTGAACCTTTTGGGGAAAATGTTAGTACCCTTTATGGTTCAATCCTGCACCTTTAGGGGTGCAAACCGATGCAACAATAGCAGCACCTTTAGGGTTTAAATCCTGCACCCTTTAGGAGGGTGCCAGAATGCACCTTTTAGGAGACATGTTAGTACCCTTAATGGTTCAATCCTGCTCCTTTAGGGGTGCAAACCGATGCAACAGCAGCACCTTAAGGGGTTCAATCCTGCACCCTTTAAAAGGTGCAATCCTGCACCCATCATCAAGGAATACTCGTGACATTTGCTCGTACACATATACATATTAAACATGCATGATATTTCTTGGTTAGTAATCATATAATCAATATATATATTGCTAAAACGTGAATGTATTTGTAACATGATAAAAAAAAAAAAATCTATTGGTTAATGATTGCCGAAGGAAAATACAAATCACAAAATTGATGTGCATTGTCATAATTTGCTTAACAAATCATATGATAAATGTATTTTCATGTGAACACGTGGAAAATAATCATGAATATGCATGCAATATGCATGCAATATGCAAACTTTTATTTTGCACCTTTTGGGCTTGTTAGGGTTCATTTTTGTGGGAAAGGTGCAAAATCTTATATTGCACCCTTTTTTGAACCCCTTTTCCTTCAATAGGGTTCATTTTTATGTAAAGGGTGCAAAATCTTATTTTGCACCCTTTTTTGCACCCTTTTTTTCTTAGAGTGCATGTTTGGGGTCTTATTCACACTTGAGTGCCTAATGAATATTCCCCAACACTTGAGTTTATTTTGGATTGAGAAAGATATATCTAACCTTTTTTAAAATTTAATTTTGATTATTGACGATCCCTCTTGATGACCCTAAATGGATATTTCATGAAAGCCCAACCCCTCCCCCCCCCCCCCCCAAAAAAAAAAAAAAAAAAATGCAGAAGTGAAAATGATAAATAATATCCTTATCTTTTTTGGATTTATTACATTATTGCGTTGTGAATAAACAAAAATGAAAGCGTTAACGCTATTGATAAAGGAACCTAAAATTCGTGAAAACGTACTAAACAGAACGGGTCTGTTATGTTCATGAAAATATAGAGAATGTTTGCCTGGTTCTTTGTTGTTGTTGTTGCATTTTTGTTTTACTTGTTTGTTTTGATTCGTATCGTTCTGTAATTATTTTTATGATTTTTCTTTTAACGCGATCGGGAATGCTTTCGAAAAATCAACTCAAGGGCGATTCTGGTACCCATTGTAATAAATTTCCCACAGAAATCATGTTCGGGTTACGTAATACGGCATTGAATGTTCGCACGTTACTGGAATTGCCTTATTAAACGTTATTTCTTTCTCGAAAGTAGTTGTGATCGTCTTTTAAGTTCTTGTTATTTATTATTGGTGTTTCAACTCCGATAAAGCCAAATGCAAGTTTACATAATGGACACGACTAAATTGTTATTCCATCTAAGATAAAGGAATATACTCACTCGGAGATTGTCTTCTTTTCCCCACTTTTCCCCGTCTACTCTAATTGATTTGGGTCTCCGAATACTTTAAAAATAATGGGAGACACGGATAAAGTTCTATTACAAAAAAAAAAATGCTCATTTTAAAAAAAAAGTCCATCAAACCCATTGAGGTATATTGTTTTGTCTTCTTTCCCTTTCTTTTTCTTCCGCTATACTCATCTTCTGTTTCTACAACTTAACTATTACTACTATACTACTACTACTACTACTACTACTACTTCTTCTTCTTCTTCTTCTCCTTTTTTCTTATCCTCCTATACTCCTCAATATACCTCTCTCTCTTCTTAGTCTAAGTCTTCTTCTTTGTCTTCTTCCTTATCATGCTCTTCTTTCTCCTCCTCTTCTTCTTGTTCTTTGTCTCTTTCTTCTTTGTTTCCTTTACAAATTGATATTAAATGTTAAGGCGTGCAGCACGGTAAGATAATGTCCGGAAAACCTTGCGAAATTTTCCTTTTTGAAATACATCACTGAAATGAGATTTTACCATGTTTTATACTATATTTCCCCCTCTTCTCGTATTCTTATTCTCCTTCTTCTCCTCTATAAAAATGTTTCATGAAGGTTTTAGCGCTAGCCTATACAGTCATGATTGTGTACACCAAAATAAAATACCACTGAAAACTGTAAGATTAAAAGTATACATAACATTTTGTGAAGACTTTTTTCATCCCTTTATAGGACTAATACTCGCGATTATTGTAAGTGGTAAGATACAATAAAAAAAAATATAGGGGGAACATTACAAAATTGTTTGCATTAAGTCATGGATTGCGAGAAAAAAAAATTATCTCGAAAGCAAAATTCTGAACTGTACAAACACGTGAAATGAAATATCAGACTATTAAACCTCCGTTAATGGTTAACTAAAAATTAGCTATAAATTCACTACAAAACGACAAAAATAGCCTAGCCCAACATTATTTTAATTAATAGTGGGAATTTACTGGCCGGGAATTGTTACCTTTTGCCAAATTATCAACAACAACAAACAAACAAACAAACAAAAACAAACAATGTGAAAATTAAGGTATAATTATGATTAAAGTACATGATAGTACTAAAACGTCAAATGTGATTCTAAGCTAATAAGAGCTCATACAGGCCAAATTCATACACAAACGATTATTCATGCACATAATAAGCTTTACGGCAGCTATTCTACACACTATGTAGAACGGTCTATACTATTAAGACGGGCCAACCTCGGACACCGGTGCATTTTTTTCAGAGAGCGCATTTTTGACTAACATACAAATTAAGTTCGAAAAGCACAATAATTTCACACGTATGTCGTCAATGTTTCTCTCTATTATCTATTGTACTTTTTATTCACCGTCTATATGGATGAAAAATCGAATACGGCCTGAAAATTAAATATAGCGAGGTTTTAATAAAGGGAGATATCCAGCTACAAGGGTAATTTCGATTGACGTTTATAAACAGGATGATTTGGTGGGCAATTCCCACGGAAAATGTTGCAAATTTTATTAAAGATGAAACAGGAAGCCTTCGTTGATGTTTGCAGGCAATCATAAACAAATGTTAAGCAATTCTTCGTTGAACTACCACTTAAAAACACGAATTTTAGGAGAAACCGGAATGAAACATGAAATGAATTTACACGTACATGACGGTCGAGACCTTAACAACTCTGAACAATCCGCGCATTACACTACAAAAAAAAGGTTATGTTCTCCCAAACAGAAAAGCATGACGATATTCGTTAGAAGAAATTCTAAGCTGCCACGAAGGACAAGAATTTTAATCAGTAGGGTGTATGGAGAGAGCGAATAAAGCTAGCAATTCTGAGGACAGCTGTAAACGAGTGCATGAAAACAGAGAGAGAGAACAGCCCTCCGAACACGCACTCAGCTCCGCACACGGCACTAAATCCACCATTTTGGATTCCACAATATTGACGAAAATTTACAATCGAATTTCACGTGAAAAATCACTCGGTGCAGCGCAACTATTAAGATTCACATTACCATCTTACGAAATATAAATCTTTATAATATAGAGAAAACGACTCACATGTTTCCCAGACGGCAGTGTTCCGGAAACGAAATATATTAGCCAAACTTGGAGGCTTTGCAGGTCGATTTTCGATCTAGCAGCTTGTGTAACAACAGCGGCCTATACGGAAAAGACACGCAGTATAAAAGACTTGTGTATGAATGTGTGTGCGGTGATGAATGGCGGATAAAGTCACGTGACTAAATTCCAATTGACGGCTAACACGTACAGAATACATAGAAGAGTTGAACAGGCAGCAGGGTACCTATATATTCGTACAGATATTGTCTAGGGCCCTTCCAAAAGCAGCCAAGTATGCCGTTGTTTCGGAGTACCTCGTTGCGCTCTGACAGTGACTGGGGAAAATTTATGGCAAAGGTAGAGCCTTGCCGAACGCGGGAAAAAATGGAGAGACTTCGCACTATCTGCACGAACGCAGAGCCATTTTTTGCACTTTGTATACTGATATCATTTTCGCAAACGGATCGCGGGCGTATTAGAGTGTGTAGGATAGTGCGTTGGCATAGTGTGATAAGACTTCTTTTCTTTTTTATGACAATAGGATTTCATAATAACACAGAGAGAAGCGACAGATTGAAGGTTGTCTTTCTGGTTCTACTGAAATCGATTCGCTGTTTCGATTTAACTCGATTTACTGAGACGTCTCATTTTTATTTCCAGTCAGAATTTCTGCAATGGTAGGGGGTTGTTATTTTCAAGGTGATTAAGACAGTATGGTTTATGTATAATATTTTTATATAGTTATAGACAAGAATAATGTCACGATCAATTTCATCAAATGCATATGACAATTTTCGCAATCATCATTTTTTTTTCATGCCAACCAAAAATTAAGATTTAAAACAAAAGTACTAACAAAATATCATTAATAGGCCTTTGCATCGTCCGGATTTAATCAGTCAAACAGATCGTCAATATTATTTTTACTAAATGAACAACTTGATGCGTTTTCTTTTATTTTCTCCACTTACTCAAAACAACAAAAATAGATAATTACACAGTCAAGAGAATAGCATTAACATATAACATTTTAACCGAATGTAAAAACTGTCATTTTTAGTACTGAAATAACAGGCAAATTTAACGTTTCATAAGTACGATATCAAAATGACACGTAATATAGGCCTATACCTTGTTGAGCAATAAATAGCTTTTGCGATGTTTATCAACTACAAATATTTATAAGTAGTTTATCAATCCATAATCTCATTAATATCTTGAATAGATTTCAAACGTCATCCACTTTCGGTTGAACCCATCATATTGGAAACATGAAATAGCAAATTACTCATTACCGCTCTCTTGAAATGGTATATGACCTGAAAGTGAAACGAAGAGGTGCACAATTATATCAATGATATTTCCTATTTAATATAGTGTATTTAGTATAACGAGTTAATATCATGATGATGTATTTCGTTTGTATTAGTTCCTGCCCCGATATTATTGTAAACAAAATAGGCCTGTTCTTATTTTGTTTCGTTTCTATGTATATGATTTCGAATTCAGATATGTAAGGACTGGAAATAAAATGATGAAACATTAAAATTCTCATTCACAGCGATTGTTTTATTATTATAGGAATAGGAAGTTCTTTCTAGTCAGTTATCTTTTAAAATGAGAACAGGATCTTAGTTCATATTTTGGCACGACTGATAAGAAAACAATGCCTATTGATATTATTTTTGAAAGTGATTATCAATATTCGTTGTGTTACAATAATTTATTTGTCACGTTTTGTTTTATGTTAAGGCCATTAAACCTTTGTTGAAATTAAACAATCATAAACATCATGAGAACATCGTCCTAATGAATTATCTTTATCTTCTCTTATGAATATTTACGTACAAGGTTATAGCTAGAAACACATATCAGTTGCTCATGCCGGTTCAATAAATTATTCATATATTTGAAATATTTGATTATTTGATTAATTCATAGATAATCTCTTTACATGGAAAATCGTACAGTCTAACGAATGGGAAATTTGTCGTGAAAAACAAACGCATTTCATATTTCGTTGCAAAAAGTTATGAGTTTTCTGGAAAATTATCTCAAGAATTATATATTTAATCTTTAAAATAGAAATTGAAATTCATATGAAAATGTTATTGATTGGATATGAAATAATAACAGAAAATTAATTTGACTTAATTTCTTGATAAATTATGCACAACTGGTAATATACAAAGATTACGTTAAGCGAAACCTTGGGGAAGTACCAACCAAGCCAAAGAGGTTAATACATAATTTTATTTCATCATTGAAATCTTATTTGAAATACAAAGCAAAATAATTTAAGATACTTTGATAATGAAAAAGTTAAGAAAGTAATAGAAATGTTATAAGGATCATTTTAAGAAATTATGTTGATCTTGTATATAATCCATATATTTCATTTTACTTGTTTTGTATTTTGAAATGTAATAATAAAGTCCCTCTGAAGAGGTAAAGAGAAGAAGAATTTTTTTTTGAAAGGTCCCTTATTTGTTGTAATAAAAATCAAATACTACTAGTTACTTCTGATTACAGTGTTATTAGTTGTATAGACTCGTCGATGTTTAAAGGGTGATTTAGATTTTTTATTTTAACGGCAAGGCATATTCATCATTAATATGCGTATATTGCCAGTGATTGCATACGAAGATCCTTAGGCGTTACTTGCACCCTTTTCTCATTTTAATTTGTTGATTCCGAACTTAACAAACGTATTCTGTTTTTTTTTCAGTTAATCAGATTTAATACAGACTTTAAAAAATGTATTTAACAAAAATATATATTTATGAAATGAATTATGTATATTTTTATATTTAGTAGGTTGGTAAATATCAAACATAAAAAAGAAAAGCTTCTTTGTATAGTCATTTTGTTTACTCCTTTCCATAATCAGAAGGAAACACAAATAAAATGAGACATTTTGGGGGATAATTCTGAGTTTTAAAATAGGCCTACATGGTTTGTATTTTCTAAATTAATGAATACTGTTGAAGCTTATCATAGAGTGGCAATGGAGAGCTTCAAAATGTGTTATTTTCTTCAGTTCTTTACATGAATATAAGAGAAATTTGAACTTTCATATAATTTTTTAAAAATAACACGATCAACACAAGGGCAATTTTAATAGCCTATATTGTACATCCTGTAGAAATCAAGTTAGGATTATGTAATACGTCATTGTGATGTTTGCGCGTTTATAAAGGTGATGGACGGGCTATCGATATTACCTTAATTTGATTTTACGAGAGTAGTTGAAATCGTGTTAAATTTGAACCAGTTTTGAAGAAAACGATAGTAGCATCGCCCCTGAAGTCTCTTTACCCATTGTTTGTCAGTCAATTTGATAAATGGGTCGTTCTATCTAATCGTGAATTTCCCTCTGTATTATTGTGAACATCATCAAACTCCGCTTTTAGTTCGCACTTTACACGACAAAACTGCACCTATTCACTGTTATCGATGCACACAACGTTAATTTCTCTAAGTAATTTGACTTTAAGTTATTGGTTTCATACTGTTTCCAATTTCACACTAATAACATGTTTAAATTGTGACATATTATTCAAAATTAACTTTTGTTAGATTGAGAGTAAACATAAATAAAACAAAGATAATTTTTGCATGCAATTGTATCAAACAATTTTTTTTCTCTCTATATATAATATATCTATATTCTTTCATCAATATTCGTCTTCAAACACATTTGTTTTTGAAAATCCTTGCAGAAGTTTGTCTTAAAACTAATGACATCCTCTTTCACATCATTATACAATTTAAGTGAAATTTTGTCATCAAATTTTTGGAGCTCCCAACAACTTTAACCGTATAGGCTGAATTATCTCGGTAAAATAATAATTTTGAAGCACTAGAAATGTAGGACAGAGGTATATCAAGACGAAGGTATCTATCAAATGTATGTGTTACCTAAAGACAAGTTTAATCAGGTTAATTGATAAACAAACACGGTGTGAAATGCTTTTTAAAGGGTAATTTTTCTTTTTGTGTGTTTTTTTACAACACAAGAGCAATAAATGAGAAAGAGCAAAACATTGCCATCATTGGATACTACCCGATACTGTTCATGAAACTCGTTATTTTGATCGAGCTGTAACTATGGAGGCTACGAATACGATATTGAGTTGATTGTTATTTCCACGTTTAAAATATTGGGTATACTGTTAGGCATACGTCAACTGGCACACAAGCATGTTAGAAAAAAATTATGTAAACAAATATTGCCACGCCATTATGTTGACTTTTTAACTGCTCGATTGCCCTTTCATCCTCACGTTGCTGTATTGTAATATTATCTATAAACACAACCATTATAATCAAAATAGTACAAATTCACATCTGTACTAAATATAGGTATGACTTAATTTTGTATGAATCATATGATAATTAATGTCGCCAAGAAAATTATATGAGCGTCAGATTTGAGTAAATAAAAACTGTCTCATGATTATTATCATTATTATTATTATTATGTTGGTTCGCAGTGTTAATACCTTGATATTTTCTTTTTAATCTGAATAAAAAGTGCAGAGACTTGTAAAATTAGACCACTTTGATTCGGGGGAAAAGGACCAATGTGACTGTCACCAAATATTAAAATGAAAATCTCTGTAATCTGCCGGGCAAGTGAAAACAGAGAAGCCTTTCAAATCTACAGACTTAATTATCCGAAATTTCCCCGACAGTAAAAAATGATGTTTCTCCCTGCACCATTTTGCGCAGAAAATAAACGAAAGTAATCCACAACAATATAATCTGACGGGAGGACATTTAGGAAGAATTGTTACACCCCAGCGACTCTCCTGGTTATAAGTCGATGACTATACTATTATGATTAGCAATCTTTCAACAATTATCTTATAATGGAGGCAACGTGTTCATATTGATATTTGCATTAAACGGGAAGTTGCTTGCAAAACTAATAGATCAATGCTTGTGGTTTAAATACATAATGTCAAATTTTAACAATCGTGAAAATGACTACCTTCGATATCATTTTATTGAACCTTGAAATATACTTATTTTTATCAATTACCGCGGATTAATATGGATGGAATATTGGTTGATTGCATTAAAGATAAATGAATATTATTTGATTGTAGCCTTGAATAGTGAGGAGATAATGACTGATTGAAAATTTTGAATATTGATGGCATAAGATTTGATTGCAGTATGAGTAACCATCAAGAAAATAAAAATCACTCGAACATAGAATGATGATGCAATACCAACCTCTAAGACAGTAAAATGAAAGCACCTTTTTCTAGGGCGGTTAATGTTAAAATAGATTATAAATGTATAATATCGATTGAGTGCAACATCAAAATGCATATATATAACGAAATGATCGAATACTGAGCTATCTTGGGTATTAAATGATGTAAAAAAAAACCATGAATGACTATAAACTTAAATAGAAGTTTTCTTGTCCTGTTCATCATGTCGTAGCATAGAATAATAC